ATTTTACACAAAAAACAATTCAATTTCATCAAATGAAAACTTGCGTCCATTAATATTTTTTAAATTTTACAAATATTATAGGAAGTTAATTAATTAATAATGAATTTATAATCAACATAATTCATATAAATTCTTATTAGTACTCTATAAATAATAATAAAATAAAATAACATAATAATATAAAGATGATTTTGTAGTATTCTTGCATACAAGTATAAAATTGATTTCATAATCTATTTAACATTTATTTTTAATTGACTTAGGTACTGTACAAAAGTATAGATTGTAAATATTTAATAAATTTAAAAATAAATAAATATTATGACTGATAAATTGTACTATTTAACTTTTAATATTGACAAATATTGAATAATAAATATCTTATTTAATTTAACAAAAGAATAGTGAATTACTGCAAATCGATAACCAAGCTATTGCAAAAATAAAAAATGATTACATTATTATACATATCGTACAATTATATATTATATATGATTTTTAATTTTTCAATTCGTGTAACTCAGAACATAATAGCTATGTAAAATTAAAAATGTGTCAAAACATATAACGTTTAAAAAACGAATGAAGGAATATCACGAAATGTGTAATGATGCATGATAAATGATTACTACTCGTAAATACAGTATATAGTAACCCATAGATTGTTAATAGCCAATAATTTTAGTTTGACGTAATAAAGATTCTGTGTTTAATGAAATCAAAAAAACGTCTTTTATGATTGACAAATCCAATTAATTTCCCAAAGGAAGAAAAAAATCATTAAAGCTAAAAATCTTTAAGAAAAGACCGCAATAGAAGGATTCACGGCCACTTATTGCAATTAAAGTCTAAATACTATTATGTCTCTACTATTGTAAAAAATATATACATAAAAGTGACATGTATTTATGGGAAATATTATGGCAACATCTTGCTGTCATAATAATGAAATTATGACGTTTCTAACTAACACCTAGCAAAATCTAGAACTATACATATATATTAAATTCAATAAATAAGAACATTAAAAAATAATGAGTTATTATGCATTGTAATTTATACAAAGTAATTATTATATGTTAGTTGTGGTAAAAATAAAGATTATAGCTAATTATTAATAGTCCAAATATTTAATATAGACAAGATAAAAAGCAATGCAAGTGATAAATAGTATCTACGTATTGTACTTAAATAAATTTTTATATAAAAATTAGCGTAAATAAAATTTTGATTCTTTTTATTTAAAAACATTATTTTCATCTATTTAATTGTCTGTTTTAGAAACTCAAACATTTTTGAGAACATTATATTCGAAAATTAAAAATCAAACCAAATAAATAGACACCATCAATTAAAATTTGTAGTTGAGTTATCTTAAACGTGAATACGTGACAATTTACATTGAAGCGTAAAGTATTAAGAATAATAATTTTATTACTTTTATTTTTAAAATACATTATGAATAAAATGTAATCGAAGGAAATAATTTAAAATATTTTTGTATTTTTTAGTGTCGAAGATCTATAAAACATCAGTTCTTATCATTTGCTAGTGTTATGGACAAGAGGATAGCATAAATATTTACTTACAACTTATAATTGTGACTTCAGTGAGTCATAATTAGAATATTATTATGAATCATTTTGTTTTTATTTAAAAGAAAAACTAGATTTTACTAAAATTAGTTAGAAGACTATTTTTTTTTTTTTAAGAGAGAGATATACAAAAATAAAATTATCACTATACAATTTAATACCAGAATTTATGTTTAACATCATATTCTTAAACAGAATAATTTCGATACAAAACAATCATATTTTGGCAAGTAAATAAGTTAGAATTATTGAATATTATAAGTAAAAGGATATCATTTTTCGGGGTAGGTATTCTATGTTTCTATATGTATCGAATCTTTGAAAATCAATAAGTTATAAATAATTAACGACCAGTTCAAAATTTTAAATTTTTGCACTGAAATTCTTAGTAAAATATTTTGCTTAAAATTAAGAAATTAAAAACATATGAGAGAAAATTAACAAATAGATGACATTTAAAACAATTAAAAAACAATTAATGAGCTAATTAAAGTAAACTTGAATATACTATCAATAAAAAGTCTAAGTTCAATAACTATAGCAATCAGAACAAAATGGTCAAACAAATGGAAAAGACAAAAACGAGACATTCGTCAAAAACAAATTTCGATTCATAAAAGAAATTATAATATTGATAACATATTGTAAAAAAATGTTCAGTAGCAAATAAATAATAATTTTTGTAACACCACCTATATGTAAATAAAATACAAACCAGACGACCAAGATGTCAAAGCTTAATTTTTAATAAAAATGTATGCGCTATAATTCCAAAAAGTATAACAATTAAAAAATTAATTGTAACTAAGCATAGTGGAAAATGTAATTTTTTTTTTTGAAAATATTATTTTTTCAATGATTTCAAGAAATTTATTTTTTATTTTTCAAGATAACGAGTATTTTCTATTAATATAATCACTGTATAATGCAATAACGTGTTTTGTTTTTTTTTTTAATCATTTCAAAGATTACAGATGACTGATCATATCTAACGATTTGATCAGTCATCTGAAATCAATAAGTCATTATTTTAGTGAATAACACCCACAGGACGTATTAAAGTGAAAAATATAAAATTATATTATAAATATATATACAATAAATATTTTAATTCCAACTCTAATCAAATTGAAGAAAAACTCATATTTTTAATGATCAAAAACAAAAAAAAAAAAGAAGCATCTTAGCTATGGCTTTTAGAACACTACATAATACGCAACTTACCCACAGCCCACCTGATCACGCATAAATCTTATGTAATTATACTCGTATTATACATTATAAATATATAAATAAGCTATCGATACTTTAATTAAAAATGTTGTGCATCAAATCAGTGATTTAATACAAATACATAGTCGCTGTAATTCATAATATAGCTGATTTATAGTTGTTTATCTGATAATCAAAATATTTCAATCGTAACATTTCATTTTATCATTTGTGTTATTATTAAGACAATATTATACAACATAAAATAATTTCTTCAGCAATTATATTCACATTTAATATTTGCGTTGAAAGTTTACGTTTTAGTTGTAATAACTAAAATCATAAAATCATTTGAAATACTTGGACAAAAAAAAATGTTTGATTTACAAATTAATATTAAATAATTATTTTATACATACATTTTTTTAAACAAATAGTATTTTAACAATTAAATTGTATGTGTTAATCACTTTTTCTTACAGAAAAATTTTAATAATTATAGTATTATTACAATATTTATTTATAATATTGTTATGAATTTATTAAACCAATAAAATTATTTTTATTTATTATTTATCCAAAGGAATAAGGTCTAAAACCAAAGTATAAATACAGAAAAAAAGAGAAAAGTTCTGTACTATACAGCACATTAGAATAAACTTTGTCATTGAGTAAGTTACTAAAATATACGTGTTTAATTTGATTTCAATAATAAATCATATCATATTGAAAATGATTCTGAGTGAAAATCTGTCATAATCATATGATATAACTTAGTACCAATATTTTAATATATTATGTGTTATAAAAATCTTGCAGACATTTATTTTACTATTATTAATGTACTAAATTAAATTATTTTGTTGAAAATTTAAATTTCAAATTTTTATAAAAGAAACCATGCTATTTACCTTTCATATTTTTAATTAATAATAACAATTTATTATAAAACTTGTATTAAAAAAAAATCAAAAATCAAATGTTTATAAATAATAAAAAAAGAGTGAAAATATTTTGAAAATTACTTTACATACGTAAATAAAATAATAATATTAATATTTTATAAAAATTTGAAGTATCAATATTGTATAATTATTGTCAAACCAATAATTTCTTCTTTTCATTCAGAATCTATAAATTTAAGTTGAGCAGTATATATTTCTAATATTAGTTAAAAACTAATACAAAAATAATTGATCATGCCTAACAATAACAAAACATAATATAATAATAAAAATGTATAAAGACGGAATAGTTATGATTATACCTAACATAACCTTGTGATAATAATATTGACTTACCAATATAAATACATTAATATCACTAAACCATTATTTTAAGGACACCTAAGAATAATAAAAAATTACTTTTTTCAATTAACATAATTATAAGTATATAAATTAATATTTATTACATGTAATTGCATCCATACTTTAAGACTTAAGTTATAAACGATTAAGAACCCAATTGGTTTTCAGGGGTAGTGTATAGGCAACTTATGATAAAAATCTAGCTAATATTGTACACGTGTTTAAGGCACTACACAACAATAAATTAATTAATCTCAATAAAAAAGAGTACAAATATGATATATTATATTATTTACTTACCTTAATATTCAAGTTTATTTCATCGAAAAATTGTCAAAAATAGATTTCTAATGAATTTAATCAAAAAGTATTCACATTTGTTTTCCAATAACTAATTAAATACTTTTGAACTAATTTTAAGTACTTAAAAAATTATATATCTATACAAAAAATCCAAAATAGTTAATTGAAATCATTTTTTAAAAAAATTATCAACAACACTTATTGTCAAAAAACTTTTCAATAATGATAATAATATTTAATATACTTAGTTTTGATTAAAATTAATTCATGTAAAATCTTTCCACTAAAAATAAATATTTTTACTAATTTAAATTATTTATTGAGCACAATAGTGGTTATCTAAAATTAAAATTAATATACTCTAATTGTTTTCTGTGATCGTATATCTGTACGTCAAGCGTTATGCAAATTATTGAAAAAAAATAAAATATAAAATATTTTAATTTACATTTATGTAACTATAATACTTTATAAGACTGCAATTTCACAAATTAATCACTAAATATACAAATAATTTAATATTTACAATATTCAAAAATAAAATATAATATTAATAAGTATATAATATATTACTTGCTGTTATTAATTGAATTCATAAACTAGTACGATTTATTTTGTGGTTCTAGAATTTAATAATACTGAAACTATGGAATATGACATGTTCATAATCTGAAAATTATTAGTTGGCAATTAAATATAAAATGTTTAACAAATTTATTCTAAAATAAAAACATCAGTTGTTATTTTCTGTGAGTACATTAATGGTCAAGCAAAATAATAATTAATAATTATACAATATTATTCTATTTTATTTGAAATACTCGTACTTTAAAACAACAAACTATTATAATATTATCAGTTGATTAATATAAGTGCTTACGTTGGCGAACATTTCTAGATTTACGATAGACTTTTGTGACACTTTCATCGCTCGTCTGTGAGCTGAATTCATGCTCATGGCCATTAACAAAATCTTTTTAAATTTTAAATCCATTGCAGTCCAATTACTACTGTACAATCCAAAATTCACTGAAGATTTCTACCAATAAAAATTAACATTATTTTAACTAGAGATTCATAAACACAATAAACAGATTGATATCATATAATTTTATTTTATTTACTCCGGTTTCTAAATGGTTGAATACATAGCAATACAAGAATAGTTGAAAAGTAATTGACAAAAAACCAAAGAATGCTTTTAAAACAGGTTCGGATAAAAGTGAAAAACCCATAAGATACGTCTAAATAAAAATTAAAGTAAAAAAATCATTTATGTACATGTTAGTAAAAAAAAAAAAAATGCTTACCAATGAAGTGAGAAATATTAATGTTATCACTGTATATGAACCACTAATTATTTGAAATAGTATCCCAAATCCCATTACGTCAAAAAATTCATCATACTTTCTACATTATGTATCATTGAAGAAAAAAAATATTAACTATAATACATATATTAGACATAATGACAAATTAAAAAGGGATTATGACTATGAATAATATCACAAAAAATATAATATAATTGGCCCTATTAAATTTGAACATAAAAAGATAACTCGACTTCAAATTCATCTACTTTGATGTACAATTATTGTTCGTTTTTTCTTAAAAACTGTTTTTCGTGAATGACGATAAACGTTTTACCAATTATATAGACAGTTTAATAAATAATAATTGTAAAAAATAAAACAATTGTGTTATTATAATTTTTGTTGTGATGAACAAAATACAATATAATTTATTATGTAGGAGCTGATATTAACATAGCAACATTCAACATGTAATCATAATAGATGGGTCAATTTTACGAAGACACACTGGCAACGAATGACCATACTTGAGGCGCTCGATGGGTTGTCTATAATAATAATTTAAGATAGGTATTAATGATATACTTCAAATTTATCTTGATAAAAGATTGACTAAAACTCATTGATCCATCGACTGCTCACTGGCTTCACTAAATTACAGCTGTATTAAAAATCTTATTCACAGTATATTTTGCTATAGTTGCTACCCCATGGTTTTATTTCAAATAATACTTCTATGTACGTTTAAATTAACAAACTTATCGTAATCTTGCAAACTTATAATTATAAAATATTTTATGCTCACTTCATTATTTTTTGATTATCTCGTATGTGGTTGATTAGTTCATTATAACAATGCAATTTATAATTTTTATCACTTTGTATGATATGAGCATCTAGAACAGACATCAATAAATTATATTTATAAAATAGTAAATTTGCAAAATAGTTAGATTGTCATTGCACATAAATTGTAATCTTGAGCACAATTTATTTGTAATTTAGCGCTAATAATTTTCGTTCATCAGACTGAGAACCTTATTTTCATAATATTTAACGATATTTTTTAAGATACTTTAAAGCTATGGTAATCGTATTTTTATCAATTGGTCTTCTTTTTCCGCCTGTCTAAATTAAGCAAATAAAACAACCTTTAATTTCTTAAACATAGATTTAAAGTTATTAAATTATAAAAAAAATATAAGTCGAGAAATGATTTGAACCAATCCACATTAGATTTAAAATATATATTAATTAATTTTTATATTATGAATGCTTCTTATAACAAATTAAGGGGTAAAAAAATAAAAGTTTACTTCTACTTATGTTTAAAAATTTATATTTCTGTCAAAATATGTATTGATTTTTCATTTTCCTCTATGTTTTTCTTACAGTTTAAAAACAAATAAAAACATCGTCATTATATTTTATTAAGAGTGTTCAAATTTAAACTATACAAACCGTACATTTTTTTTATTATGTTTAAATTATTAATAAAATAATTATTCAATTATCTGACATATCTTACAACGAATATTATTTTCTATGCAAAGTTCAACATTTTAAACATACTGAAGTCGCCGTGTATATTAACACATCGCAATGATAATTAAATGGCAGTACAAGAACAGAACAAAATAGTAATATTAATATTCTATGGTACATGTTGGTAGTATGTAGGCCGAAGAGTGTGTTTTGAGCGCTAAAAACGGTAAATCGACTTGTTCACGATTTTCAATCTGTTTGCATTTCCATCAAAATCCTATTGAAAACTTACCTCTAAAATATATTAATGAAGAAGTAACGTGTAAACGTCCGGAAACGAACCTTTGGCGTGCCGATGGCCGATGGTTGCGAAACCGTCCGCTAACGTGCGGAACTGGGCGTTGAACGTGAAACACATTGTCATCACGTAGCTGTCGAACATTATCCAAAAAACGACGTTCATGAAACATATGACAACCTCAACTGCGTAGATGAGCGCCCAAACAGCTGGCGCGTTGTACACGGTTACCGGCACCGGTAACCAGATGTTGTAGATAGTAACCCGATAACGGGACACCGTGCCGTCCGAGTCCTTTATCGGCAGGTAGTCGTTCATCTTGGATAGCGGCCCCAACAACCAGATTAAGGATGTAATGTAGCTCAACGCGGTAAACGTGCGGAGTATCGTGGAAAGCGTCGCCCGAGACCGGCGCACCGTGCGCTGGTCCCGGGAACTAGCGGACGTGAACTCGTACCGGGCTACATCCAGGATAACGCGCAACCTGTCCGCGTTCGTTACCATTACGTATACTTTGAACAAGCATAGAAAGCAGGTGGACACCACCGTGGTAGTGAATGTGAACCGATAAAGGTCGTTCAACGTAAAGTAAAAGCCGACCACCTGTACGACCTGCACGATGAACATCAATACCGCACACGCCACTAAAGCTATGATGTAGCGCCAGTTCCTCCCAATGGTAGGATTGAGTATTTGGTGCAAACCAATCACTTTGAACAGCAGATCGTCCACGATGGTTAGGTCTTCTGACGCCATTGATAAGTTTCGGCAACGGCCTCTATACGAACGCATACGTATCATAGTAACACGAAAAACGTTATTTTTGTCCGACCGAAGGGATGGAAAAATTCTTTTTTTCCGACCCATCGGCAGGCCACTGGCAGGGGAACGGGACGATTCGTTTTCATGCAACGATCGAAAATCTTACTCTTTCTCCGAATCAGATCATTAAACGTGAATGTATCTACACGTTTAATCAATAATCTGTCATATGAAATGCTTATATTTTAATGAAACTTACAGGATTATGTCACAAATAAGAAAAAATATTTAAATATTTTGTACACGAAGCAAATTGATAAAATGTGAGTGAAATTTCTACAACCAAATTAATTAAAATGTTAAAAGATAATTTCATTATATTTTTATACGCCTGCTCTTTCTTGGACATTTTTTTACACTCTTTTTTGATATTTGTGTATAACGTATGAGTTTATGTAGTTATGTAAATTAAGAATTGTTTAAGTATTTACTAAATTAAAATTATAATTAACTATATAAATTAACGTTATTTACAATTTTCAAAACATACAAATAATAATAGTTTATAAAATATTGAAGTCTGTGACTTGCACACGAAAAACCAAATACTATGCATAATATTGTACTAAATAATACTATAATATTTTTTAAATTATATTATTCGCTTAATAAGCAGTAAAAAAAATTATTTTATTGTTGGGTACCAAAAAAATACTTACATAAAATCGTATACTTTGTTACAGTTTATAGTCTTCAACACACAACAATCTGCTTCTAAGACAGTATGATAAATGATAATGAAATATTCTCATATTAAAGAAATAGTTTTCTAATAAATTCACATAGGCAATAATAATTTAAGTATATACTAAGAGCTTAAATAATTTTTTAAAGGATTTATGATAGTTTGGGGTTATTTGTTTAGCGATGGTGTGTTTGCATAATTAAAAAGTTAAAGTCGGTATATATTATGTATAATGGTATCCAAACAAATGAAAATTTGTTTGAACGACTGACCTTTATTATAATTATATTACTAGAGTTCTCATTATAATTTCTTATTTATCAAAGTTATTCATCAATATTGTCAACAATAGTTTGTAAATAATCCACATTTCGGGTAGTTCTTAGATCGAGTTCTCTATCTAATTTCCATACGTATAATTTGGCATTCTGGCATCGACATTTATTTAAAGTGAAATAGTATTAATGTACCTAATATGTTATTTACACTTTTCAGTTAAACATGATACCGCAGTATTTTCGTTCGACACGCGATAGTTCTTTCTAAATGATTATTGAAGAATTTATTAATAATCTTAAAAAATGTCTTCAAGTTAAAATGTCTTCATTTTCTATTACCACCTAATTTTTAAGTCATCTGTCCAATACAAATAAACATTATTTATTTCTAATAATCAAACATAAAAATTATCTAAATACAATTTTTAGCAGTTTTTATAAATACTATAAATAAATGTTTGTATAAATTATTACATAATATTATAAATTTTCTTGATATTTTTAGCGTTTAAATTAGAGATGGAGATGGTTCCCTATTGCTTTAAATATCTCCAAATATAAATAAACAAAACACTTTTCCTGTGGCTATAAGGGTTTCATTGAAAATCTTAAATAGTATAAAAATGTAATTTACGATTTTAATATTTATAACATAATATATTCAGTATTAACCCTATCTTTTCGAGTAAGAAAAAATGGTATAAAACAAAAATATTAATACCAAAAACTGTAGAAACTGAAATTTACAAAATAATGAAAATATACTTGTATTGTAATTTATATAATCATGAATAAATATAGCCAAAATTGTTCAGGAAAATGTATAAAACAATGCTACACATTTTGTATTATTCCCTTTTATTAGTCATTACCTTCATAATATAGGTTGTTAATTTTGATCTATAATTTTCCAGTTATATTCGAAAAAATTATAACAAATTACAAACAATAGTTCATTTTTGATGAATGTCGTTAATTCATAAAGATTATAAGTTCATTTTTTGAAAATAAAATAATTGTAAAATATTCTAAGATCAGTAATAAAATTAAATATTGAATATATGATTATAAATCTAACACAAAAATTATATCTAAATAATTTCATTATGTCTAGTAAAACATATTATATTAAAAAAAATCATTAATTACATAAATAAATGAATTAGAATATTATCAATTTTTATAACTTATAATAACAGCTAATTCCATTTTATTAAATTAAAAATTCATACACGAGTATATCATATTATCTTTACTCATAACAATAATTTTTTTCGTTCAATCAATAAGTCTTGAATTCATAATTAAGTAAAAATCATTCAAATGATGGCAATTTATAATATCAATATAATTGTAATCAATTTTTTAATACAAAATGATTATTTTAAATTTTAATTAGGTAAAACTTTTTATGGTAAAGAATATACTTTATTAGGATTTTGATTATACTGCAGTTTAAACCATTTGTTATAGTGCATTTTCATACCACTTTACCTGCCTTTATACGATATTTCGTTATTACGTTTGACCATAGAATGACCATAATACGTGATTTATGTAGGGATTTATAATTATTATACTTAATAATTATTGTGTGTACATTTTAATTTTAATATGCTTTCCAAAGATTATTAGTACCTATTATATTTATAATTATTATGATTTATTTTTATTACAAGGCCGACAACAAAACTAAAAGCAAAAAGTTATTTTAATGAAATGACAGTAAAAATAGTTACACAAAGATTCAAATTTTTATCTAAGTAATATTACGTAACTTATTAACGAAAATAAGATCGATGCGGAATGATTCATGTTCAATCAACTTTGTAAGTATCAGAACTTACAAATAAGTGTAGTTACAAGAATAATAACTATGTTAATTTAAGTTTCTAAATAAATATTGTTCATTAATATATTTATACACATTGATGGATTAAATATACATATATCATCATTAACCATATATTATAAAATAATCTTTCATTATATAAATCGTATAAAATATCAAAATCATTGTTTTACATTCGAAATAAATTACAATTGATTTTTTTTTTTTTACTCTTTGATTATAACACAGTTTAATATTACACGTAATATATTTGTTAACAATAACGCGTTCATATGTATTAGTAAAAAATCTACAGAGTTTCAAATATAGATAACCATCCTTAGTAATAAAATAATATTAAAAATATGTGATACAATTGGCTTTTGTATTATTCCAGATATATTCTTTTTTTTTTAGTTTTGAAAAATTACACTCATTGTTAATTATAGAATAATAATCATCAATTATAGATTTATATCTATCAATATTTAATATACATTTTTCATATAATTATTTTCTTTGATCGTCGGTTGGTTTCTAATAAATAAAATCTATAAATTTGAAACCTCATAAGTCCGAAATTATATAAAACCAAATAAATACCAATGTTAATAATTATAATTTATCAATTTTGAGAATCAGTAAATTGGCAAATGAAAATAATAATGGCAACATAAACGTATATTCTTTATAAAACCATCAGTGTAAATTTTTTTTTAAACGCTAATATCAATAGAGACGATTCGATAATAAAACTACAGATAATAATAACATTTTTATTGATGATATATTATTATACAAGTATTATGTTATTTTCTTTTTAAAGAACTATAATTTAATGGAATAACAAGTAAATATAAAAAAAAAAAAAAAAAAAAAAAATGAACCAATGAACCATGGATATTATTATTTATTTAAAACAATCAATACAAACATACTTAATTAAATGGAAGAAAACTAAGTGATATTGGCCTACAATTTGAAAATAAATAGGTATAACAACCTTAATTTTATTTAAAAAAAATAAAATATCAACTAATAAAAGAATTAATTTAATATCATAATGGCATCAAATTATTAAATATAATTATAAATTTTATGTTTCTATTTTCAAGTTCTTTTATTAAAAATTATAAAAATAATACATTTTTTTTGTACAGACATTTTGAAATCACACGATTGGTATTCCGTTGATATTGTCACCACTTTTTTAATTATAACACCGTAGATAAATTCATCGTATTATACTTTGAACTTTGTTAAAGAAAAAATCAAGAAAAAAAAACATATCTTGTAATTTAATATTTACAAGATCAAAGTACGTACACATTTGTTGAATGATGGATACATAAAAAATATCTGTTTATTATATGTCAAACAATAAATTTAATCGTAATATTGTTAGTATTATTTTTTGAGTAATGCAAATTATACAACAATATTATTATTAAGATTGAATTAATAATAAAAATATATTATAGTATATAAAAGATAATCTATGAGATTTTATATTAATATTGACCAACTAAATATATTGTATTTCCGATTAAAAATAAAATTGAACAATTTGTTATTGAAAATACGATATGGTTTTAAATTGATTCCTTAAAACCAAAATGTTCAATAATATGCTTGTAAATAAAAACTCGATGATATTATATCATTACAATGTCATGCTATCGAATTATTCATTTATACGAGAATGTCTCTTTCACACGAAATGTATAAAACGTTACATTTTCGAGTGTGACAATTTATATACAGATAAAATATATTCTATTAATAATAATTTATTGACAATAATAGGTAAATGTCCTTTACAAGGATTTTTTATGAAAATAACAAATTAATTATTTTTTGATAAATCATTAAATCAAATCATTTAATATTTGTTAATAATATAAAATAAATATTTTGTGTATTATATCAACAATTATAAAATCTGTAATATTGTCTTTTCACAATTCTGTTTCCAAAACTTCTCATATAATATATATATTATTATTATTATTATTATCTTTCCTCTACCACTCACCATCATCTTCCCCACAATATCTTATTTTCACTCTGTTACAGGACACTTCTATATTTATACCCTTTACATCTAGTATTATAACATAATCCTGTGGAGGTTGGTTAGTGAATAATTTTTAAATATAGATATAGTTTTCTGAAATCATATTATTTAATTGCAATTCTTAAAAAGATAAAAATTAATAAATAACTTAGAAGATTCATTATTTATCTTAAGATTAATATAGTAAAAATTTGACCTAAAACTAATTTTATTAAAAAGTGTATAATGTAAATTTCTCCATTTTGTTTCGTAGTTCTTCACATTTAAAGAAACAAATGTAATAAAAAAATATTAACTAAGTATTGACTAAGTAGTCAACATTTTCAATCAATGATAGTATACAACTTTCAATGAAGTAATTTTACTAACTAGAAAATAATAATTTAACAAACAAAAGCAACAACACAAAACGCGTAACATTAAAAGCAAAAATAATACGATACCTTACTTAAACAACTTAGTTAAGGTCCTAAAATCGCAGATCCAATCTAAAATAAAATTGGAATAAAATGATAAGACATTCGCAATTTTGTAAATTAAGTAAAAGCACTCAATTTTTTATTCAAATACTCGTAATTTTATAAGAAATAATCAGTAAAATTTTCAAAATCATAATAGAATTAAGAATTGAGTTACAATAAAAATAACAATAAAAAAAAATCTTTTTTTTCTAAGATTTGAACAACATAATGAAAATTTGTTATCTTGTGGATAAAATAAGAATATGAATTATAATTTAAACCTATAATTATTATTATCAAATGAATAACAATAAAATAGTACAAGTTGTATGACATGTATTTTGATCTCGTATTTCTCTCATGTATTTTAGTCATCGTGATAAATAATAATATATAATTAAACATATATGTGGCTATTAGTATATATTCAATTCAATTTGATAATCTTATCGATATCCAAATAAATAAAATGAACACAATTTATTAACCCAGGTTAATAATACACAATATATTTCAATATTAAAAAAATTATTTATTTTTCAATCTTTAAGTTAACAATATATACACTATACAGTATGTTTCTTTATAAATAAATATTCAATCAAATTAAATCACAGCTCAAATATAAATATTTTACATACAAATATTTAATTTCCTACAATTTAATATTTTGCTTAAAATGTTTGTAAATTAGCTCTCGAATCATTCAAAAATTCTAACTTACACAAGTCTAGTCTCTATGGTGAACATTAATTAACTTGTATTCCACTAAAATAATTAGTTTAAAATAATTCAAATGGAAAATAGCTTTAATTGTCGCTACTTTATATAAACACGCATTTATACCAATGTTTATGCAATAAGACAAAAAATAATGTTCTAAAATAGGTACTACATTAAATAACATATTACACTAAATTTATCTTATAAAATAATTGAAATTAAAATAATGAGATATCAAATTCAAAATCTGTGAATAGTATATGTTATTTGTTAGATAAATTACATAATACAACATGCAGTCGTTGTTATAATCGAAATAATAAATGTCTCGTGAATATCACTCCTTATAAAATTGCTAAGAAAATATAATTCACAACAAATTTTAATTTCTAATTTGTACATAAATATTTTAAATATAATAATGCCATTGATTTAATCCAATTTAAAATAAAATGGATTTAAAAACAAAATATGGATAGTTATATATTAATATAACCTAATTAAAATTAACTCTATGATTAAAAAAAAAAAAGATAAATATGTTAACATGTTACAATAAAACATTATTATCTATTAAGTATACATAAAACTTATAACGATCTATTTCTGTAAAACCCACAAGTTTTTTTTTAATTTTCCTAATACAATTAATAAAAGTATTAAAAATATGGTGTATAAAACCGTCAATGAAGTTCCTGTTATGATCGATAGATGATCCAATGTCCACCCCTTCAATGCTATGTTGTTCATCGTATTTCCTACTAGCCTTATAGGAAGTAGTTTCGATATCTGCCTTAAAAATGGAGGTTGTCCTTCCAAAGGCCATATTGCTCCTATATAATATAACATTATAACAACATACTTTTATCCTTTATTGTTATAATAATAATACACATAAATATTATAACTTATAATGTGTTTTATTTTTATAATTTATATATTATATTAAACCTATTGGTAAATTATAATTATATCAAAATATCACATACGATCTTAGCTCAGTTGGTATACGTATCGTATAAGAACTTATTAATATATGATAATATATTACTGAATTAGGTTGAATAAATAATTAACTACAATAATTTAATTTATTTTACACGAGTAGAGTTTTTTTACCTGATAATATGAATTGAGTCATAGATGCCCCGGTTATAATGTACACTCCGCCTAATTTCGAAGTTGATACAACAGAAGTAAATAAACCTAAAACAAAAATTTTAAAATTTGTAATATAAATTGTGTTATAATTAACTACAACATGGATCAAATTACATTATAAAAATGTAATTATTTATTTATTATTAACTTCACTGTAGTAGATAATATTATAAAAATATAAGAAGTACCAATCATAAAATACTTACCAAACAAGAAACCTATCCATCCCAATAGTAATAATAATAGCACATAGACAAACAACCCATTGGTAATTTGTATTGGATTCAAAAATAAAAAATATGAAATGAAACAGGAGGTACTCATTTGAAACAAAAGTAATAGTGTTACGATACAAAACATAGAAATTAACAAATCCATTATTTTGACACCTAAAACAAATAGAGCGCTATCATTTTTATTTAAATATAGATAATTTCTAATGTGAAATAATCTGTGTTCAAATACCTGCATACATCGATCGGCTAAGGAGTCCGTCCATTTTTTCCGACATCATTATGCTTACCGCGAATACACTTGGGAAATAAAATACTACCCTGAAAATAAAAAAAAATAAATAATTAATTTAAAAAAAAATCACTCATTAATTCGCATTTTATGTAATATTATTTTCATTATCAATACAAGTATAAAATACACGGTAAATTACGTGTACCTATGTAATTAATAAATTCATTAAACTTTATTCATATTTACAACCCGATTAATATACCTATTCATAATTTTAAAATAAAATTACGAGTAGTGTTTTATTTACTAATGAACGAATTGTACATTTTTTTTCAAAAATATATTAGATCATGAACTAAGTACAATATATTTTTAACAAAAAACATGGTTCACTATACAGCCTATTATATAAAATCTAAACCTATGATTGATGAAATTATCTTCAAAACATACCTTAATAATTATTAATATAATTACCAATTTTATATTTTTTAATTTAAAATAATGAATATTGTTAAGTATAAAATAAAATAATTACATGGCTATAAAAAGAGTGACAATACCATTGGCAAATGATTTAACTTCTTTTCCAAATAAAGTATTGATCTTCTGCAAACAACAAAAATAAATTCACTTTATTTAGCACAGAACTAAGCAACATTATTGGTACACAAGTAACAATTTAGTTTTTTTTCATAAAATATTGAAAAAAACGTTGTTTGGTTTTAAAAAAATTGTAATACATGTTAAATATTATTTTAAGCAATAGATATAAATAATAACTGTATAATTTACATATTAACTCATATTAATTAAACCTCAAATTTTACTTGAATTAATTCAAATTAGATATAATCTGTAATTTAAAAATAATATACTAATAGGTTGAGTAGGTACTATACATTATTAATCTAATAACATAGGTTCTAAAGTATGATAAGAATTGATTATTTACATAACTTCAATATATTTACGTATACCTAGTAATTTAAATTTACATATTTTCGTTAATCATACCAAGGGTACACTGATTGATGTTGGACTATTAAAGCAACTATTTAATGCTTCCTTTATTACATAATTTATTGATTGTAATACATCTATTGTAATTTGATTTTTAAATAAAATATCTGAAATTATTCATGCATTAATAAAACAATACATTTATATTAATAATTTTACCTGCTAAAAATTTTAATTATACTTACTTTCGTTCGTTAAATGAGCAAACATTATAGATCCTAAATCGAAATATTGACGATCATCAATATATTTTGTTAAACCACTCGTATAGTTTTTAGGAAAATACAGAAATGCAATATACTTTTCATGATCTATATCAGTTTCAGAAGTTTCACGATCTTGTACTTCAACCTGTCATATCAATCAAAGAATCAAAAAAAAAAAAAAAATCGGTTAAAATTATGGCCCGCGCTGGAAAATTTTCCTTAACTCAATGCTCTATATCACTAAATTTTTTCTACTCACTAATTTGTAATCATGTGATAAGAGATAGTTCATAATAATACAGCTCATTTTTTGATTGCTATTTTCGTCAAAAATACATCTGTTCAAATTTGAATATTGACAATCTAAAATATTAATTTCATCGTTTTTATAAGCAATTGTCATATTTTTAAACGGTACTCCAATTCCAAAACAAAAATTGAATGTTTGCAATATAGGTAGTAAGATCACAGTAAATAACAACCTGCATCAAACAATATTAGTTAATAAACTACCATATTATTCTAATAAAATATCAAAGTTATACTTACAAATAATCTCGAGAGCATACACGATAATTTTTTTTTAACAAGGCTTTAATTTTATACAAACTTACATTGTTTCCCATTTCCATTATATTTTTTGTTTGATTTTTTTCTTTTATATTAACAATGTTGTTGTGGACTTTCTAAACAAACATATACAAATAACTGGTATAATTACGAGGCAGTCTTATAATTAATTTTATTTTGAAAGCAATTATTCTAAATAATTGCACGAAAAATACATGCTCATAGAAAATAAATATAACAGTACATATGTATAGTATATAATTGTCATATGGTTATTTTTTCAAGCTTTATTGTATTTTGAGACATTTAAACATATTGCATAAATCAAACTGTTTATGGGTTGTTAAGGCATTTTATGTCATTAAATTGCTCTTCCACGTTTTATGATAAGTAACGTTTCCTGCAGGTTTCTATGCAATGAAATATATTAACAGTGAAATATGTCGTTCTATTCGATTCTGACTTCTAAAGTGTGTAAAAATAATATTTACAACTCAGTATATTTAGAGACAGTGCTATATAGAATGTTTAACCTCCGTTTCAATACTTCACGGTCATCAGAACTAAAGTGGAACACGAATTTTGTGAAGTAGTGCTATAATATGCGAAATCGTTTCTAAACCAATATGAATGATTTTGTTAACAACAGTGAAAATTACAGTAATCATATGAAAATAATTAAATTATAAATTGCTATAAAATCATATAGGTAAAAAATAAAGAATAATTAATAAAATAACAGCGATTTAAACTGTATGATTAGAAAATTAAAATGTTTACATAAAACTAATTGCGCTTCTTTAGGTTTGAAAATTTTTTTATACATAAATTGTATTATTTTTTTTAGATAAAGTAGTTATTTTAACTCATTAAACACTGTATAAATGGAGTTGAACATTTCTTTATTTAATTGTTTATAATTATTTTTACATTACTAGAAATTTATGAAATTATCAACCGGCGATTTAAGCTTTCAAATTGTATATATGTGACGATGTAATAATATTATCTCCTTCAAAAAAATACAATATTTAGGTACTCGCACATGAATGTATCTATTTACTGTCTTATAACTACGCAATATGCATATATAAATAATATAAATATATTTAAATATGTCAAGGTACAATACTTTAATAATTGATTTTTGATCACAGCAAAGTGTTAAAAAAGCTGACTCCAATGTATCTGTACCACATTTAATGAGGATATCTTGGGGCGGTCCTTCTTCAATTATTAATCCGTTTCTCATTAAGCCGACCTATAAATACAATTTTTATTTAAATTCGTCATAAACCCATATAAAAATGTAGTTAATATATTATGTCAAATCGAAAAATAGGATCAGTATTCATTAATTAGTTTTACTATTTTCCCATTAGAAAAAATATTTCAAAGGTTAGTACATTATATTTTAAGTTAAAAAAACCTTTAAATTGTATACTTTACTTAATAAAAATTAATTTATAAAAATAGGTAAATGTACTTTATAAATATATAAACTATAATAGGTACTTATGTTACATTTCATAAATATTTTATACGTATTCGTAATTTATTAAAATATAATAAACTTATCTTTTAATCATAAATAAATAGTTAAGAACTTATTTCATTCGCATAAACATCTGTGTAACCTATGTTATATATTATCAGTGGCGCCGAACCTATACATGAACTGAAGCGATTGCTTCATATAATAAAGAGAGTGGGTGGTTTAATTTATGAATGTGTTTTTATTTTTGTTTTACAATATAATACTTATACTAAATAATTAAATAAATATCTAAATTTATTAGGTATTAAAGGTAAAAAATATTCTCAGTGGTGAGTGGGTGAGTGTGTAAATATTTTGATTTCGTTTCACTTAAATTTATATGACTCGGCGTCACTGTATATTATTATATTTCATATATTAATATTGTATTATAATATATAAATTTATAAGTATGTTAACTTACGCAATCCGATTTATTTGCTTCTTCGATATAATGAGTAGTTATTATGATTGTTTTGTTGTGTTCTTTGACCATTTTGGTAAACTTATCCCAAATTCTACATTATTTTTTATATTATTAAAAATGTAATTAAACTTAAATGTAAGAATTTATGTTACCCTTCTCTCAGTAAAGGGTCAATTCCAACTGTCGGTTCGTCCAAAATCATAACTTTGGGATCATGTAATAAACTAATAGCAAAAGATACTCTTCTACTCTGGCCGCCACTAATTTAAATAAAAAATAAATTATGAATATTACAAATCATCATTTAAAATATGTAATTAATAATTATTATTAATAATAACAATTCTTTCTACACAACTTAAATACTAATATATTTAGCGTTAATAATTTAATGTAATTATAATAATTATTTAATATAGATATTTAAAATCATAATTTCTCGGATATAAGTATTTCAAAATCTAAACCGGCGGAGGACTATTACTAATCTATACTAATCTATAAGCTTCACCCAATTTTATGTTCAATAGAAAAATAATTAAATTTATAAGTTATAGAGAGTTATTTCAATTTTTACTTTTTTATATAATAACGCAATTTTAAGATTCAAAATATTTAACTATTGATCTTGCTGGAAAATCAGTTAAGCACTACACAGGTATAATTTTTTTTATGACAACATGAAATTCCAATAAATATGTTTACATAATACATTTATTTAAAAAATTAAATATTTTAAAAACATTGCATAATATTTATTATATATTTATGAATGCAAATAAATGAATGAAATCTCAAAGTAAAATACTCACTGTATAAATAAATATTGTATTATTAATTTTCAATCTACAACTGATTTTTATGATATCATACTATACAGTCTTCACGGATATTCATCATTTTTATTTTTAATAGAAGATATTTTACCTTATTTCATTAATGTAACTATCCAAATCTGGTAATTGTAGAAATTCATTAAGCTCATCTAATTTGTTCTTAATATTTTTTTTGCACATTTTATAAAGTGATCCATAGTATTCAAAAGTTTCTTTTACGGTTAATGTGACTTCTAGACATAAATCCTTCAATAGGTAAACATATTAATAAATCAGCTGTATATTAAAATTAGTTTTTATATTATTTACTTGAGGCATATATCCAACATCTTTTAAACTTTCTACTTTTAAGTCAATAAATCCAGAATCCAATGGCAGTGTTCCCAAAATACATTGAAGAAGTGTTGATTTACCACAGCCACTTGGTCCTAAAAGACCATAGCTGTAAAAATAAAAATAAATGTCTAGGTAAAATGTTTAAGTTTTGTAGCTAATGACTATTTAGGAGTATTATATGACCAAATTAAATTCTCTATTTAAAACCAATTATTGCGATTATGACTAGTACAAATAAATTATTACTGTGATATATTATAATATTTAATAATGCTTCTACAATCAGTGCAAAAATACTATGCACTAAATCTACTTATTCAGTATTGAGTAAGTTTTTTTTTCCTTTTTTTATTTTTAATTTATATTTATTTTTATTTTTTTTATTATTGTTTTAGCATCAACTTTAAGGTTATCAGTTTACGGTTATTATTTTATAAAATAGTATTAACATTGAATTTCCATTAAATTAAGTAATAAATTTAAATTATTAATTATATTTGTAGTTTTATACTTTTATACATATTTTAAGCATAATATTATAATGCAAGGTCACTTTTATCATATTCTTCATTATATTTCATGGATGGTAAAATCTTTAATATTATAAGTTAATTTTATGAATTTTAAATACAAAAAATATTACTTAACAGTACTACAGTTAACCTTCAATTTGTTGATTTGAAATTATCACGTAAAATTATTCAATATATAAGAAAAAGTATTTAGAGAAAGTTATAAAAAAAACATCATTGTAAATTCAATAAAGGTACGTTCCTTATTTCGTTTAGTACCTACCTTTATAACAATATATTAAACTAGTATATATTGAAGTGTTAAAAATGCGATACAAGCCACAGCTCATGGTACTTGTGTGAATCATTTACATATTTTAAATTCGATAATGTATTGGTATATAATTTAATAAATCTATTGTTTTTGTTAAAATGTTTACTTTTTAGTACTACTGATAAAATCAATGATACAAGGTTGGTTTTGTTTGTTGTCACTTATTTTATTTTATCAAGTTGATATTAAAAACAAATACTTATATTATAATTAGTCCTCGAATATTTCTCTTTTTAATAAACATTTAAATTAAATTTTTATTTAAAAAGAACTATCAACATTTATTGAGAAAACATACAGCCAATACAATTAATACTCAATATTATTAAGATTAATATGAAAATAAGATACTGTCTATTTAGGATTGCTTCAGTAATATTTCGGATAATAACTTAATAGCGGACCAAACATTAAGAATGTCTTTACTAATTAATTATAACAATTTAAATTATGTGTTTATTCATTTAAAGTTTTTAAGACACAATCTTATATTTATAATCAACATTTATTTTGTGATATTCAATAATAAAAAAAAAAATTATTTGTTATTGAAGTATATTATCTCAATGTCTTAATTTAAATACGATCATTAAAAAAATTAATATTTACATAATTTTGATAATATAGTATTCTCAAATATATGCATAATAGAAACAAATATAATATGTACAGTTTATATATTTATTTGTACCTATACATAAGAAATATATCAATTAGACCAAAAAAAAAAAAAAAAAAAATGAAATGCCAAAAATACTATGTAAATCGCATTAACATTATTATTTTATCTGTTAATTATTAATAAAAATAATAATATAAATTTCTTACGTTTATAACGCTGAGTGCTAATAATATTTTTAATTTTAAACGGTATTATTTATTTGAATATATTTTTAAATTAAAAAAAAAAAAAATGTTTCAATCGTTTTAAAATAAAATAACTTACATTGATCCAGACTTTACAGTCATGTTTAAACCATTAAATATATCATTTTGTCCATACTTCTTAAAAGCATTTGTCACTTTTATGTCGTATTTAATTTTTCTTTCCTCCAAAGTTTGATCCATTTTATTTTATATTTTATTGGTACTAATCCTTTTAGATATTTATAAAATTATTGTTATTAGCTAGCTAATATTCGTTAACATTTTCACTAGACAACATTTCTAAATTTAAAAAACGAATCACGGTTTAAGAAACTTATACTGACTATAATAACTACAAACTGTTAAAAAAAAAAAAAAGAAAAGGTATTTGAAATACGGACAGTCCAAGTATTAACGAATTGCTTTAGCAAAAGTAAACGCATTTTTAAATATACACGGCACATATTAAAAAAAAAGTAGAAAGAGTACATTTATTTAATGAAGGTTCAAGTAATAGTACCTGGAGTAGGTATCTGGATGTCCTTGATTGCTTACCTGTAGTCATTGTGATGGCCGATGAGTGGGGTTCGAATTAATGTCTAAGGCCTAAATATTTATGCTTTATTATTGTTATATTGTATATGGACCCGTTGTACTCAATTAATTTTTACTTAAATATGAGGTCCTAGGTAAGTCTTTTGGCAACACTTACTAATTTATTATATTTTAATACCTATATGCCAATTATTTGGTATTTTTATCAATATCCAATCATAGTTTTATTAATAATACTGCAAAACAATTGGAATAAGTATCTAAAACTAACAACAGTATTATTAGTAGGTACCTACTTACTACTTATTTAAGATTTAATAGTTGATATCCATCTATATCTATTAAATATTTAATAGTATAGGTAATAAATACTATAATTTTAATAATTTTTGCTCACCTCTTCGATCGTCGTATTTTTTTGTCTATACTTATTATTAATAACACGTATTTATTAATTATTATAAGTGATCGAAATTTAAATAGTATAATAATATTATAATTTATAGTTTATAATAATACACGATTAAATTTAAAAATAAATTACAAATGCAAACAATATAAAAAATAAACAATGTAAAGACAATTTTTTTGTTCTTGTTCTTTTTATTGTTCTGATTACTAGTAATAAGTTTATTAAACAGTAGTGGTACTTGTTAAAAACAAATCTTATTCAGAGGCCTTTAAGTTTTAAACATGCCAACTAAAAAATTATGTTACTAATACAATGTTATTAAGTAAATTTAATAATATGTCCTTCAATATCTACCAGTATTGTGAATTTGTAAATTTATTTTGTTGGTCTTATTACAATTGTGTACGATTCAATACAATTTTTTCTCGCATAATTATTGATCAATTATAAAATTATGAATAAAAATATTCATAATTACAAAAAAAAAAAATCTAAAATAATATATCATTATTTTGTACAATATGAAGGCTTAGCATAATATTATACCTTAGCCATAAAATAACAATTAAAATAAAATTATAGGCTATACTTTCCGTTTTTTTTATAAGCACATGTACTAGTTTAATTATTCGCTTAAAATGCATCAAATTAATTTGTCAGTTTGTAATTTTAGACACAGTTTGAAGGTTTTAAATGAGGTTATAAATATAATATTCATAAAATATTAATAATATTAGTTCTATCCGAATTTTATAACTGGTGCATGTATTTAATTTTAAATATACGTAAGTTATTCAAAAACAAATTACACAAAAACAATTCGAGAACTTTTAAGTTGACGAAGGATATGGATTGATATAACGAGCTTAAGATGGAGTTCAGTTGACAGCGATAGGTTTATTCAAAATGTGTTTAAAAAATACGCATCTCTTCTTGATATAATTAATTCAAAAAGTTAGTTATAGTTTATTAACAAAAGTTGAATAAAATCAATACACAATATTATTTATTTACTAACCATGCATCTTTTTTAACGTGGGTTAAGTACAATAACATAATTACATGTAATAATACATAACCAATGATAATGGCTATTCCGATTAAGACGGTCGGGTGAGTGAGTGTCCATCCTCTTAAAACAATGTTATTCAATATTCTACTAATGTAGCATAATGGGAGGTGTTCAGATATGATTTTCATGAATGGCATTTGAGCTTCAATTGGCCACATAATACCTAGAGAAATTAAAAAATAATTTACATATTAATATAAAAAAATCTCATAATAATTGGATAGTTAAATATGTTAACGGAAACAAACATATGAGCTTGAAAAATATCACAATATAAACGTACCTGATAAATAAATCTGTATCATATTCCAACCAATAATCATGTTCATGGCTTCGGAACTCGATTTTGATAATCCAACAATTAACAAACCTACAATTACATAATTAGCACAAAATAATTTTAAAATAATAATTTTTGGGTAAATTTGATGCCCGAAAACTTTAAATTTAAATTTGTTTTGATTAAACAATATTTACATTTTAAATTGTATTTTTATCTAATATATAAAATACTACCAACTTTATCATTAACATATACAAAAAAAATAAAATCATAAAAATGAACGAAAACATTTTAAAGAAAAAAAAATATTATCTAGGAATAATAACTAGATTATAGTTTAATTGTTAATCAAAACTGAAATAGACAATTATAATTAAAATACTATATAAAATGTAAAATAATTTTAAATACCAAATATACTAAATAATAAATACATACCGTATAGTAAACCTAACCACCCGGTTAAAAAAACTATAAATGCAAATGCGAACAGTCCGTTAGTGAGTTCAATAGGGTTTAGGAAAACAAAGTACGTGATAAACATGACAGAAATAGTTTGAATTACGTGTATTATAGTTTGAATACACGTTATTGAAATTACAACTTCTAGTATTGTAATTCCTATAAGCAAACAATTCGTCAACATTTATCATGGCAATTTATTAACAATAATGTTTACCAGCTGTCATAGACCGATCAAGAAATCCCTCCATTTTCTCTGTCAACATAAATCCTGTAGATATTACACTTGAGAAATAAAATCCTATCCTAGAAACACAAATATACAGTTTTAACAATTTATCAAATTTATTCAATAATAAAGATAGAATTTCAATTTCAATAGTATAAATAATAAAAATTAAATAAGTATGTGCATTCTAAAATGTTTTAATACTCGTATGTTAAAGCTCTGCACGGTTCGGTCTAGACCGATCTGGACCGAACCGGACCGGTCTTTTCGATCTTTATGTTTTAAAATGTAATATGGTCCGGTCCGGTCCAGTCCGTCTTCAATTTAAATTCGGTCTATATGGTCCGGTCTGTTGATTTTACATGAAAAATTAAAAACATAATAATATTAGTTATGTTATTTTAATTTAGATTAAAATGTTTTGAAATACCAAAATAGTTCGTCACGTATCTATATTGTCTTTTTGTTGACATAATATTCACCCATTATTATTGATCTATAAAAATAACGTGAAGTAATGAAATTACGCGCATTGTATTTTCATTATTATTATTTATTTCTAAACTCAAACACTATAATAAGTTATAAGAATATGGTTTTTATAAATATTTTGAACATTATACGTCAAATTATCGTAAATTTCAATCGTCAGAAAAAAAAACTATCTTTTAAATCGTTAATAATCAGTAATCACCTTTTGATAAGTAATTATTTCAAATTAAATATTCACTATCATTAAAATAATCATTGCAATGTTAAACAATGGCAAATGTTTTGATAAGTTGATAAGTACTAGTATCAAATTATAATACAATTAAACAGGGTTCGTAAGTTCATAAATTCGCATGATTTTTCTGCTACATTGAAATACAAACCTAACCGGATTTCGTTTTTATTTGTTTGGTCTAGTCCTGATTTTTGTTAAAATGTATTAATCTGGTCCAGTCTATAAAAACACGGACCGTGCAGCGCTCTATCATATGTTACACTTTGTGTAATGTACTATATTTATCATACCTTTGTTCAAAAAAAAAAAATTTTAAAACCTTGATAGGTATATAAAATTTATAATTTAATACTTTTGTTTACTGAAAAAAGAAAATAAATTCTAGAATTACAAACCTTTTCTTCGTAGATAATTTAAATATTAGTAAAGAAGATTTAAACAGCATACTAGGAAACTAAATATTATAAAATGTTTCTTAGGTACTTAGATAGTTTTAATTTACAAATTGTAAGGGTCACAAAAACCTTTTGTTTAGAAATCATAAAAACGATAACATTCTGCTTAAAAATAAAAGTTTGGGTATAATAATATGTTATCGCACCACTAATTTGATACAAATTTATGAAATACCTTAGTCTAATATAATAACATAATATAACGTATTATATTTGTTGAGGTATACAACGTCATGTCTGAGATTTTAAAATCTTGTAAAATCAGTTTCAATGTTAAATGAGGTTGAATAATAATTTTCAGGCATACGTATCATATCATGTATGCAAAGTGACCAACAGATTACAGCAGTTTTTAGTTTTTAACAATCTGTTATTTCATAAACAAATAGAAATAAAAACAATACTCCGAATTGAGGTACCTAAATTTCATCAAGAGATTAAAAAACTAATAGTTATTCATACGATCTAAAGCAACTTTAGAACTATGAACAGGGAGGTAAATAATTTGTTAGAATGACGGTATTCATCAAATAATTATAGTGATAAATTCACGTGATATAAGTATATAACACGTTTAGAGAATATCAAAATTATACGTTGCTAAACAAATTTAGGTAACTAAATATAAACTTATACATTATAATTTACGTTTTATTGTTTCAGTAAATCAAAGGTTAGGTGTAAATTATTTATTGTTACATGAATTATCGCAATAAGCAGCATGATTCAATTAGAAACCATTACAAATCCATTTACAATACAAAAAATATGATCTAATCTGAATCTTTTAAATGAATTATTAATAAATGTGTTAACATACTTACATCGAAACAAACATAGTAGCTATACTATGAATAAATGTTTCAACTTTATTTCCCACTAAATATGTAGTTTTCTATAAAAAAAAATACAAAAAACGGACATGGTTTATTTTTTAATAGTATCAATGTTTTATCAAATTTAGATAATATTCATCATCTTGATGCGTATTCAAGATATAGTTTTAAAATGTTATTGCTAAGAATTAAACGATAAATTTACATTTATTTTATCTTGAGATTATTTAACATTTTTACAAGATATTTTTCCTGTTATAGATTTAAGATTAACATAGGGGCGCATGTAAATTTCACCGATTGTAACCTTTTTAGACCATTTTTTATGTAAATTCTACTAGTTTGTTTTTTTTACCTAAAAAAAATATGTAAATTCCACCGGTACATTTTTATTTTTATTTAGGTATTTGGCATTTCCCTTTTACATTTATGATAAATTAATTAGTATTACAGTATAGGTATGATATTAAATTATTAAACACGAAATAACAATAAAACAATAGTAAGCAATAATAATGATAATAAGTTACAATAAATAATGGGTACATAATTTATGTACAGATTTCTTACTTATACATAACCTCATAGGTAATATATTTAAAATTTAAATACTTATATCATTTTTTAAACAATTTAAAAAAAGTATGTAAAAATTAATAGTGATCACTAGTTAGTAGTTACTTATTTTATCATGAGTAGAGTTAACATATTTTCAGATCAAAAAATACGTACCGGTGAAATTTACATTTTTTTTTAGTTAAAAAAACTGCATAGGTGGAATTTACATGTATTAAATTCAACTCAAAAATCGACTACCTATAAATTGGTGGAATTTACAATCATCCTTAAAATATACTAATATTTTATTTTCTATATAATTTACAAATTTAAAATTCTAATATGTTATTCAATATGTATACCTAATTCAATTCAATAGGTTAGATAACAAAATATTTTCATTATTTGAAATAATTATGGTAATAATACATAAAATTATTTTTATAACTTGTTTATAAAGTAATAAATATTAATAAATTCTTTAATTAATTAACTTACCGGTGTATTAATATACCGGAAAGATAATAAATCTGAGACTTAAAAAAATATATTTCTATACTTACAAAATGACGCTTAACAAACTTCTTATTACACACGCCTGTGCTATTTACAATAACATCTTCAACAACATTAAATAGATTTCGAATAATTTGACTTTTTACTAAAACATCTAAAAATGTAAATATTATTATAGTACTTTACTATTAAGAATTAAACATTTTTCAAAACATGTTTTAAATGTGAATTACATTATTTATGATATTATAATTTATAGCAACGTTTTTATTGAACACAACTAAGAAACCATTTAAAAAGAAAAATTATTAAATTACGAATAAATCAGCTTTATTCACATTTGCAATAAATAAATCAATTATCATTATTGCATAATACTAACTTCCAACATCAATATTTGCATAGGCTGCCGTATTTGACGAATATTCATTGGCGGAAAACCATAAACCAAGAACATATTGTTGAAGTCCTATACTAAAATTTTGAGGAAACTGAATGAATGCTACTGATTTAGCTTTTTTTACTAAAATGTCTCCTTCTTCTCGATTTTCGACTGGAATCTAAGTAATAAAATTATACATAATAAGTATATAAGGACATTCTAGTGTTAATTATTAATTTTACTAAATTGTATTCTAGATTTCGTAAACCATTCAAAACTGCACAACTAAGAGTGAAATTATTAATGTCTTCATAAATACATTGATTAACTACAATGCTCTGACACTCAGCAATTTCTTTATTTTGAATAGCTATGTTAACATTTTTAATATTACCACCAATAGCTAAATTGAAAATTATTGCTGCCAACATTGGAAATAAAATCATGAAAAATATAAACCTGTATTTAAAAAAAATTGTTTCATCTTCAAATTATTATTATGATTTATGGCTAAGTAAAACAATAATTACGTGAAATCCCTTAAACAAATAGCAACATTTTTCTTTATAAATGCATTAATTCTAATGAATGATATTCCGCTGTCAGAGTGCAAAATGTTTGACGACACATTAGTATTTTTGAAAATGTTAGTCTTTTGAGTTGTCTAAATGAAAAAATAAAAAAGTAAAATAAATTTATAAAAAATGAAGTTTTATAAAACTTCTCGTATTAAAATGTTTTTACTTCATCAAGTTCTTGACTAGAACTTAACGATAAAAATGCTTCTTCTAATGAGTTGGCATTTTGTTTAACCAATAAGTTTTGAGGAGTAGTTTCTGATATTAAAACACCATTTCTCATCAAACCTATCTAAAAATAAAAACAAAAAAAATGAATTTATTAATTATAAAAATTAACTTATATTATTATTTTAGAATCTAAGCAAAGCAATGAATGTTTTAGCTTTACATTGATGTATGTTTTTATATTTACTTATTATTTTTGTATCAGTCATCACATTTTACCTTTTGGATTGCGAAAAACCTTAGTTTTTAATATAGAAAATGAATTCTAGTAAAAAATTACATCTAGCTTTAATTTAGCAACAAAATTAAAAAATTTCCAAAATTTTTCAAAATAAAAAGAAAACTAAAATAATATTACAAAAACATGAGAATTTTTACGCTAAATCCGATTTATAATTGATTATTGCAATTAAAAAAATAATAAGTGTAAGGGCTTTAACTTTTTATCAAGTATTTTTAACCTTGGTTTCTAGGTATGGTATAATTTTCAAAATATTTTAGATTGTTATGCTATGCATAAAATTAAGTTATTTTTGACATTTTTTCGGTTTATATTTGATACAATTCGTTTTTAAAAATTAAACAACCATAAAAACTCAATACAAGGTTTTTACTAAGTTTATTTTTTTAGTTTATTAAAATATAGAAAATACATAGATAATAATAATACACGGGGTATAATTCTACGAAAATTTTCAAATTATTTTGTAAATCCAAAATTCATAAAGTTTATTATTTTATCACCTAAGATTCGAAAATATAATACAACATTTCTTATAAGTTTATTTAAATATTAAAACGGATATTGGAAAAATATTATAAAAATATACGAGATTCTTCATAACTAGTTATAAATCTATTTTACCAGTATTTAACTTTTGTAAGCATTTGAAGATCTTTTAAACCAATATTTTGAAAACCTTGGGTATTCAAATGTACATGGAAAAAAAAAAGTGCTTAAATAACATTTCATCATAGAAGAGAATGTGGGTAAATAACGTTTTAAATGGTTATGCTGCTCCAAAATGTTGGTAAATAGTGATAACCAACACCAGTTATTTCAGTAATAAATAATAATTATTCGTACGTATTTTGTTATTATTTATAACATATCAATCATAAAAACGTGAAACATCTTCTAACACTGAAGTTTTAAAATATTTAAACCAATTTTAAGTTATATTTAAATGCGTTTGAAATTAAAAAATTTTTATGATTTTTCAATATATGTTCATAAAAAATGTTATACTTGGTCGAATAACACTTAATTTTTATAAAATAATTCATATAAGTTAAAAGGCAACTATGAAAATTAGAAGTTTTAATGGAAATTTCAGATAATTTTAGCATAAAAATCATAAATAACTTTAAAAGATTGTTTTCATTATATAGCTACCTACTTAAGCAAAAATACTTTTATCAATTTATTTTTATATCTATAATATTTGTGCTTTCTTACAGTATGTGCTTGGTGTGCTTCTTCGATATAATGCGTAGTAATTATAATAGTCTTAGCTTGAGTTTTTACCATTTCCAATAATTTCTGCCAAATTCTAATGATAAAAAAATCATTGGTAGATAATCAAATTATCATCCTCTAATACGTAGTAATTATAACTTACTCATATCTTAATACTGGATCGATCCCTACTGTAGGTTCGTCTAGTATTATGATTGTTGGATCATGAAGTAATGTGACGGCCAGTGAAACTCTTCTACACTCACCACCACTATGTAAACCCATAAATAACTCTTAAAAAATGTGTTTAAAATTTATCGAATAATATCAAGAAACACAATTATTCAATTCTAATTTCAATATAAACGTTCAACCTTAGATCTTTTAGTAGTGTGTAACTCTGTGGTAATCTAAGCCAATTAATAAGTTCTTTGCTTTTAATAGAAATATCGCTTTCATTCATTTTATATAATGAACCATAATATTTAAATGTTTCTCCTATGGTAAGCATCGAATCTAAACACAAATCCTATAAGATTTAAAACACGATATATTTATGATTAAATGATTTGAACCTTAACCAAGAAAAATAATTTTAGCTTTTTTACTTGAGGCATGTATCCAATATCTGAAAAACGACTAGGATTTATTTTAATAATCCCAGAATCCAATGGAAACTTTCCAAGAATAACGTTTATTAAAGTAGTTTTTCCGCAGCCACTTGGTCCTAAAAGACCATATCTAAAAGAAAATATTCTTTCAAATACCTGTTTTAAAATTACATTGTAATACATAATAAAAAATGATACAAATAACATGCTGCGCTAGTTTCTAATTTTTGTCATTTTAAAAATAATAATTCAACTATTTAGTACCTACATTTTTGAAAAAAAAAAATGAACTGAGACAAAATAAGTGAAAATATAAATATGTTTTTTATACATTTTATGTAATTAATACTTAAAAGAATAATAAAAAATATTCTATTATGTACATTGTATACGGCTGTTTTATTTATAATATTGGTTATTAATTTGACCATTTTAATGAATGTCAATACTTACATGGATCCTAAAGGTACACTCATATTTAAGCCATTTAGAACACTAGTATCAGAAAAACTTTTAAAGGCGTTTAAAATGCATATAGCTAACTTAGATTCTACTTGAACCTTTTTAGTTTCTATTTCATCCATCTTCAATAGTGTTGACTGTTCTCTTCTAGCACAATAATCACTTTAACATTCAATCATATTTATTAATAAACTTCATAATACTTAAAATATAATTTATGAGTAGTTATTAAATGTTTAATTTATTTGAATACTAGACGTGCGATAATTATTCTATTATTATGCATAATAAAAAATAAATTATGTTTATCGTTAGCATTGATAGTTATAATAATTCACAAATACTATTAAAATTAAATTTAAATTAAAATATCTTCAAAGCTAATATTACAGCAAGTGTTTATTTTATTGTAAAAAGAATATAGTTAATTTTTAATTTTATACACAATCATAACAGAATTTGATACATTATTATATAATAATACCAACAAATTGTACAGGAACTATAGTTGTTTTCAATTCGAATTAATTGTTAATGATCTCAGTGATCTTTCAAAAAATATATCACTTATAAATAATACAAATAATACAATAAAATTACTTTTGTAAATCATTTTTATTTTTCCGATAGATTTTATCCTAACATATTATCAGGAAATTAATAGTTAAGATTAATGATCAGTAATCATTCTAATGATTATGTACGCAAAAAGTCTTTGACAGTACAATGTGATGACAAATCAGTTTTCATGGTCGAGAATTAATAGTGTTACACAGAGTAATGGGGTAGACCAAGTCGTCAAAGAACATGCATATAGTATATTGTCATTTTTAAGTACAACTAATTGTACATAATAATTGTTAATTCCCAGTCATAACTTATACATTTTAGTACGTACAAATATATAATATAACATACGATTTCACACAACAATGAATATTAATTTTAAATAATCATCTGTCGAAGGACTTTCTTCGTGGTATAATCAACCATATACCAATTCTTATTACTTAAGGCGTTGCATTTTCATTAAGTTAAAAAATTTTATACCTATTCAAGGTGCATATCAACTAAAACTTAAGTCGAATTAACATCTATCTGAGTGTTTTTTTAGAAAATCCTAGTAGGCAACAATTTTAGAAACATTATTAGCAGTTTATAATATACGAGTGCATTTTAGAGTTTCGAACATTATTTTATGATATAAATACCAATAAATGTACACACTAAGATTTTCAGAAAATACGTTTGTGGTATTAAACTGGCCAATATTCAATATCGCACCAAAAAACTCATTCCAGACGAGTCTACAGAAAATGGTAGAATTAATGTAATATTATAGGTTATACAACTGTGATAATGCTTTCTAAAATCTACATAATAAGTCGGGAAACTAAAGAATAGCGTAACATTTACTTAAATCAAATCTATTTCTTTTAAGGCTGCATTCTCTACTATTTATTTAGAAAACATCTTATGGTATATTTACTTATAATATAAACTAACTGTTTTATTTATTATGTTGATTTACTATACTATTATGATCTTCACTATTTCATAAAATATCATTCCGATTTATATGACTTTTTAACTATCGTTCTTGTTGCTTATTATATCTATGTCCAAGGACATAAAACAGTATATAGCTATAATTCACTTGACCACATGTTACGTCAATATAATTGAAATGATTAATTGTCTACACGTCATATGTCACGAGTAGTTAAATTCTTAGCTTTTTTAATGTACATAATACACAACGTTGTTAAGCCCCCCCCCCCCATTATTATTAAGGCTGTATACTTACAGACATACAGTACTTTTAGTTATTTAAATTGCTTTCTCACGCAAAATTAAGTACCTATCTACCAACATAATATTTTTTCATTGTTTAATGATTACATAATAGTTAAACAAGAAATTTTGTTTGGAAACCTTTTAGGTGAATGAGTTTAAACCTTTAAAATATTGTAAATCTAAAAAATCTAAATTTATACACATAGAGGCATAAATACATAATTTTAGTATATAATATGTACAATGTATATCGATGTATTATTTACGTTGTTTTTTATACACCATGAGTTGATGAATATTTTATGAACACGTCAACTGAACATTGTCCATAATATTTAAATATACTAAGTAAATTCAATTTTTTCATGTTGGTAATAAATAATTTATAATTTTAATTTTAATTGAATTAAACATTAATTTACTATACTAATTATTTAAATAAATATATATATATATTATATTATGTGTAATAATATGATGTAGGTATATTAGGATAATAATTTTTTTTTCAAAACTATGTAAATACATTTTTGAAAAACACAACAATTTCTTATGAGAATAATTATTTATGTTAAGTACTAAATGTGTATTAAAGTGTATTAAATTACGAATTAAAGTGTATTTTAATTTAATTGTATTTATAAAATGTTTATTTTGGTTTTATCCACGTATCTTTTTTAAATGAGCTAAAGAAACATACTAGTACTGCAAAGACTATTAGCCATAAAATTGTCAATATCAATCCACGTAGAACTAAAGGATGATAAAAAGGCCATTCTTTAAGTGTCAGATTTCCAATTGTTTCTGATGCGATGGATAAAGGCAGAAAAGAATTGAAGGCTTTTAAAACAGGATGTGCACTTTCCATTGGCCAAATAAGTCCTATGAAATTATAGTTAAAAATATTTAATTATTTTTCTGCACAACTCGGTTAAAGTGATTTATTTACATACTCGAAGTACAAATTTACGTAACTTACCACATAAACATGAAAATAAAACATTAGTTCCCATATTAATATGGGTTGCCATTGTATAGTTTTTTGACACAGCAGCTACTAATATTCCTAAACACAATGTATTATTTATCGGTAGGTATAAGAACATTTTAAACTTATACATTATACTAATAGTTTATTGGTTACCAATAACTTGTATATTTAGTTGAAGAAAAAACCGAATATGTATAAATTCTTGATAAAAATTATTTTACGTAAATAAATACGTAAACCCTAAACGATATAGGTATACAATATAAGGTCTTACAAATTTTGTGTGACAAAAATCATAGAGATTTTATTGGTTCCAACGCGATCTCCACCATTTTTTTTCACACAAAATTTGGTAGATCATATTTATACAAATTTATAAAATTAAATTTAAAAAAAAAAATTATAAATTAAAGAATAAAATGCATAAGCAGTGATTAAATATGAACTTACTTGCTAACATAACTTTACAAAAGTTTCCACTCGAAATTATCTTATAAATACAATAATACGTTAAAATATAAGAAAATTCAATCAAATGATTCCCTTAACTTCTTTATTACATTTTTTATTTATTCATGAGTTAATATTTTAATAAATCTTAAATTAATTTATTCAATCAATAATGTAGTATAAAAAGTCTATTCAAATTTACCTGCAAACATTCCTTGGTAACCAATTATCATTATAGTCATTGCAAATGTCCAAAAATTATCTAGTGAAATTGGGTTATTAAATACGAAATACATAAAAAATATTTCAATCGACGATTGTATAATGTGGACAATTGTTTGGAGAAATATTACAGATACAAAAAATTCTAAGAATTTTACTCCTTTAAAATTAAAATATATACAATTTAAAATTTAAAAGATGTCGCTCATTCATCAATTTATTTCAAAACAATTTTACCTGCAACCATTATTCGACTCATAATTCCTTCATCTTTCTCCGACAGCAATAATCCAGTTGATAAAATCATTGGAAAATAAAAAGTTAATCTAAAAATAAATATCATGTTACACATTAAATAGTATCCATACATGGTAAATATAGTTAAGGTAAGAGCACAATATAAATTCGTCGATTTACTGTTAAAAAAACACTATCATATCCAATTATAGATTTAAAACTAACACCAAAAACTTCTTAAAAAATTATCAAATAAGTATCTATTTTGTTTATTAATAAAGTATTAAATATTAAATCATAGTAATAATATTTTAAACCAAAAAAAATAAATAATTTTATGATAGTAAGACTTCTGAATAATATGTTATGCAGTATCATACAAATGACTTTTGTGGATAAAAATACAAAAAACATACAGAATTTTAAACTAACGAAAAATATAATATTCGTTATTTATGAACTTTGAATAAATTAAAAACAATTTTAAAATGTTTGAAATATCTTGAATTTAGAGTGATGCGAGTTATATACGTAGAATTAAAAGAGCAAGATAGACACTACTATACGTATATTATTTAAGTAAATATGTAAGTAGTATTTGAGTTATAACAAAGAAAATTGTTATAACTCATTATATTCATGATACTTACAAAACTATAAATCCCGGAGAAGCTGAATGAATAAATTCAGTGACTTTTACGTTTCCTATACTTTGAATCTGTAAACCAAATAGTGTTCAAAATAAGTTTAAATAATTTTAGAATTTATCATATTTAATATATTATTATTTATTACTGAAATTGGGTAAGTATACGATTTTTCACTTATATTGCAATACTTAGCTGCTTGTTTAAATGTTTTCACAAATGTTGAAGTTATGTCATTCTTTATTTTTAATTTCATGATATAATCTAAAATAATTTTACATCTATACAATTATTCTGTATAATTAATTCTATATTTGCATTAATAATTTTTTTTTTTAATTTAATTCATATTTTAATAAGTTACTGGTTGAATCTAACGTTATCTGAACCGAGCTTGAGTCTATATCATATCGATTAACAAATAGGTTGAGGCGATTTTTTAACGTCAATGTATAATTCGAATTAAAATAAATTAAACCCCATATTAAATTGGCATTTAATGCAAGATTCCCAGACTTCAGACTTGGGTAGTCGATCTGAAAAATAGAACGTTTAATTTTTTTTAACAAAATAGTTACTTTTAATTTTTAATACTCTTTACCAAATAATTATTGGATGTTCGTAGATTATCGATAAACATACAACTCAATTTAGTATTATTTAGATCGTTTAAAAAACATTTTTGTTTATATAAACCAGTGCTACAATTATTTATTTCATCATTGACCACTCCCAACTTTGCATTTTGAATGTTATGTCCAACACATAAGTTATATAC